TCGCCAGCCCCGCCCCGCCCCGTCCCGCCAGCCACACCTCCGCCTCGGGTCCTAGCTCGAGGACCCCTCAAGTTTGTCCGCGGCTGCGCCTGATTCAACTTACTCGGTGGCCTATCTGGACAAGTCTCCCACCCCAGTGTGAGCTGCCTCGTCACCCTCGAGTGTCTGGCATCCCACTTTGCGTTGATGTCAGATGTCTGACGAGACGCGGTCGCGGCTGGCAGTGGGGAAGACGTCCTAGAGAGAGTATGCGGCGCCGCTCCGGCTCCATCATGGCGGCGGCCGTGCGCGCTGTGGGCTGTCTCCCAACCCTGTGCGGCGCCCAGGCAGGTGAGGGCGGGGACCCGAGGTGTAGGCGCGCGGGAGTAGGAGGCTTACCCGGGGTCTGGGGAAGCCCGAACGGAGGGCAGCGAGAATCCGGGGGGGCCCTCACGCTGGTCTCCCATGCGGTTCGGGCCGGCTGTGTGACCTTGCGCGCCTTTTCTCCCTCTCTGGGTCGCGCGGCCGGAGACTAACGTGGGTGAACTAAACATGCTGTTCGTTCAGCTTCTTAACCACTTGGCGAAGAGGAAGAGGAGCGGGAACTAGCAAGCGCCACTTTCTTGGAGAGTACGATCATAGGATGATGTCGAGGCTGAGGACTCACCCTCTTGCTGGAGTCGGTTGGATTACCTATCAGTTTAGATAATGGGATAATGGGCTGATCGATGCTTGTATTAGAACGCATCTGATCCGAATGCCAGAATGTCCTTTGTCAGCCGGTCTTGCTCCCGCTCTTCTTCGTTGTGTGCAGCCCTGGGAAGGGCCGACTGCTGCTGCTCTCGAGCTTAGCATTTGATCTGTAGGAATGGCTTCGGGATATTACTAAGCCTGCAGTCCAGCAGTTGTAATGCCCAAACTTAGAAATTCCTAAAACCCGCCAAAGTTCTTCTTCTTTTTCTTTATTTGATAATTTATTTTACTGCAAAATTTGACCTGGAATCACTTGGTGGGAACTCTGACCTGAAACAGTCTTTTCATTTGTTAATCGTCATCCTCAAGTTGTCTGTCAGCTACTTGCCCGTTTTCTCTTTACAGATGAGGGGGTTACCATACATAGAGATGAGAAACTTGGCTCACAGATTACCAAGGTGTAGAGTTTCGCATCCATAAAGTCTGGCTCCAAAGCCTTTTTCACCCTTCCCTTTTGTGTAACACCCCCCCATCTTTTGGATAACAGTTTTATTGACATATTAATAATACCATAAAACTCACCCATTTAAATTGTACAATTTAGAGATTTTTAGTATTTTAGTGGACCTGTGTGCGGCAGTTGTCACAATTCTATAACAATTTCATCACTCCATAAAGAACACCTGTGCTGTTTTAGCTGTCCCCTGCCCTGTCCCACTGATCCAAACTCTAGGCAGCCACTGATTTTCCATCCCTGTAGCTTGGCTGTTCTGCTCTGATCATCTCATGTATATAGAATCAAGTGATATCTGGTCTTTTGTGGTTAGCTTCTTTCACTTATGATGTTGTCAGGATTTATCCATGCTGTGACATGTACCAGTCCCTCGTTGTGTGTGGCCCAGCAATATTCTGTTCTGTCAGTACACCACATTTTGTTTACCCATTCATCAGTTGATGAACATTTGGGCCATGCCCCTCTTTTGGCCGTTATGGTTGATGTTGCCCTCAACATTTGGAAGCCATGTTTTTGTCTGTACCCATACCTTCTTTTGTATATATTTCCTGAGAGTGGAATTGCTGGGTAAAATAATAGCTCCATGAGGAACTGCCAGGCATTTTCCAAAGTAGCCATACCATTTTACATTCCCACCAGTATTGTGTTGGGGTTCTAATTCCTCCTTGCCAACACTTGTTATTATCTGCTCCTTTGAGTATAGCCAGCCTAGTAGTGTGAAAAGTCACTAATTTTGTCTTGGGTCTTTAAAGGTTAATGAACTTATTTTCATGTGCTTATTAACCATTTGTATATGTTCTTTGGAGAAATGTTTGTTAAAATCTCTTCTCTCTCTCTCTCTCTCTCTCTCTCGAATGTGCTCCAACACAAAATTGTAAACTTACTTAAAAATGAGGTTTTTGTAGTTTTTTTTAAAAAAATATTTATTATTTTTATGTGTATGTGTGTATTGCCTGCATGTAGGTAGGTGCAACCTGTGTTGTGCAATGCCTGCAGAAGACAGAAGAGGCTGTCAGATCACCTAGAACTGGCGCTATGGACTGTTGTTAGCAGCCATGTGGGTCTTCTGAAAAAACAGTCAGTGTTCTTAACTGCTGAGCCATCTCTCCAGCCCCGATTGTGTGGCTCTTGAGCATGAACTTTGTAGATATCAATATTGTGATGCCCCCTAATTGGACATACCTAATAGGACCTCATACATGCTAGGCATGTGCTCCACCACTGATCTAGAGGCTCACATGTTTGAACACTTGGACCCCATTTAGTGGAACTGTTTGGGGACATTATGAACCTTTAAGAGGTGGAGGAACCTTGCTGGAGGAAGTGGGTCACTGAGGGTGGGTAGGCCTTAAGGCTTTATAGCCTGGATCCACTTCCTCTTCATCTGTGTATCCTGAGTGTGGATACAACCTGAGCAGTCAGCCTCCCCTTGCCATCGAGTCTTCCCTGCCTGCTGCAGTGTCTTCCCTGCCACAATGGACTGTATCTTTCTGAATTGGAAGCCAAAATAAACTCTTTCTTCCTTGTTTTTATTAGGATATTTTTATCAAAGCAATGAGAAAGTAAGACACCAGTCCTCTTTTTTCTTTTTGAGACAGGGTCTCAGCAGTTTGTTCAGGCTGTCCTTGAACTCTGGGCTTGAACTTCCATCCTCCTGTCTCAGCCTTCTGAGTATACAGGTTTATGGGCCTGCACCAACAGTGCTGGCTTCTTTTGTCCATTTTAACTTGGGTTGACCTTTTATTATTGAATTGTAAGAGTTCTTTGCATTTTCCAGATACAGGTTTCTTGTTAGATATATAATTTGAAAAAAAAATTATCCAATACTGTATGTTGTCTTTTAACATTCTTAATAGTTTCTGTTTTGAGATGGGAATCTCACTATGACTGTAGTCCCTGCTAGCCTCAAACTCGTGGTTTTCCTGCTTCAGCTTCCTAAGTACTGGGATCATAGGTTTGCACCACCATATGTGGCTTTGATAGTGTTCTTTGGAACACTTGGTTTTTTTTGTTTTTGCAATGCTAGAGATCAAACCCAGGGCCTAGCACATGCTAGGCAAGTGCTCCACTGCTGACCTTCATCCTGGCCTAGAAACAGAACACACAAGTTTGAAATTTTGATGGTCTCATTTACGTTTTTGTGGCTTGTGCTTTTGGTGTCTTATTTAAGAAACCATTGCCAAATCCAAGCATGTGATCACTTACCTCTCTGTTTCTGTTTAAGAGCTTCACAGTGTTTTGTTTTGTTTTGTTTTTGAGACAGGGTCTCCCTGTAGCCCTGCCTCAGCCTCCTTAGTGCTGGGATTAAAGGTGTATGCCACCACATGCTTGGCTAGAGTTTTATAGTTTTGGCTTTAGGTTTTTGGCCTATTTTGAGTTAATTTTTATTTGTGGTATAAAGTGGGGTTCCACCTTCGTGTGTTTGGGTGTTAATACCCAGTTGTCCCCAGAAGTCAGTTGCTCATCAATGCTGTCAGAGTTGTCTTGGAACACCACACTGCAGGAAGGGTTGTGCAGGAGAAGGTGCCAGCCTGAACAGAGAGTACCTGGGATCCGGGAGGCTTTGCCCCCATGTATTATCATGTGAGTCCTTTCTTGGGGAGACACAACACGTATGCCTATCCACCCATGGGAGAACAAAGTAATGATTCTACCAAAGTCCAGCTTGATGAACCAAGGAGGTTTATTGGGGTTACTCACAGGAATATGGGAGAGGGGTTGCTTACAGGAGCAGGGCTGACTCAAATGCAGCTACATCACCAAAAGCCCACCCAGCACAAGTGACCACTCATGAAAGCTGCATCACTAGAGGCCTGCAAGTCATATAGGACTTGCAGGCCTCCCCACTTTCAGGCGCCTGGACGGGTTGAGACTCTTGGCAACTCAGCTGCTCTGCTTCTGCAGCCTCGGGAATGGGTCCCTGTGAATCTTGTGGGTTTCAGCTTTCACAGACTTGTAGACTTTGTTTGCTCTGTGACTCTTAGGAGCCTCCCCATCCTTCCTGGAGAGGATATTTCAATTAGGAGGAAATTGCTGTACAACATGTGTCAACTAACCTGGAAAATCTGGTTGAGAAACAAATCTACCACAGCACTCAGTTCAGAACTCACTACCGACCTGGTGTATAGAATGTGATGTGTGTAGAGGGAGGGCACAGGAGATGGGCAGCATGAGATGGTGGAAACGGGCTGTGTGGTGGCCCTTCAGGGTGTGCTGAGGAGTTATTTCTTGAGACAGTGTCTCATGTAACCCACATTGTCCCCAAACTCGCTATGGAGCCAAGGCTGACCTTGAACTCCTGATCTTCCTGCCTCCATCGAGTGCTGGAATCACAGGCATGAGCCACTACATCCAACTTGTGCTGAGGAGTCTCCTTTGTTCTGTAGGGCAGTAGGGAGCCAAAGAAGTGGCTGTCAGGGCTGTGAAGTACCCATGCCTGATATTTTGGAAAGGTGTTGAGTGAGAGGGGGAGGTTGGGAGACCTACTAGGAAGACCAGTTATCCTGTTGCTGAGTGGTGAGGGGACCTTAAAAAAGGACCCACAGGACCAGAGCAGAGGTACAGCTGGCAGAGAGATTGACTGCTAAGGGGATTCTGCAAGGCTGGGACACTGGGTATGTGTGAGAGGAAAGGTTGAAGATAAGCTGTGATGTCAACTACTTGGCAAGTGGTCGTAAGGCCCAGAAATTGCTTCTCACTTATCTTAATCTTTGTATTCTGTAGATGGTAATATTTTATGAGCATTACTGCTTAAAAATGTTCCTTTTCATGTAGAAATGTTTTTAAAGAAAAGCTTTTTTTCTTTTTTCAATTTACAGGTCATTTCCTATGCAGGCAGTTCTCCCTAACCACCTTTCCAGCAGCAGCTTCCTTTTCAACAGTAAAGCTTGCTTTCAGCAATGGTAAGGTTCACCTGCTACCTCCTTTTCTTGTAAGTTGTACTTAATAGTAGAGGTGTTTCTGGATTTTTAAAACTGTTTTATTTTATTTTATTTTATTGTTTTATGTGAATGAGTGTATTGCCTGCATGTATGTAAGTACACCTGTGTCATGTAGTGCCCACGGAGGATAGAAGAATGTGCCAGATCTCCTGGAACTGGAGTTACAGACGGTTGTTAGCCATCATGTGCATGCTGGGATTTTAATCTGTATCTTCTGCGAGAGCAGCCACTATTCTTAACTGCTGAGCTGTCTTTCCGGCCTGTTTTTGGGTGTTTTAAAAGTGTTAATGAGGGGCTGGAGAGATGACTCAGTGGTTAAGAGCACTGGCTGTTCTTGCAGAGGACCCAGGTTTGATTCCTAGCACCCACATGGCAGCTAACAACTGCCTGTAACTCCAGTTCCAGGGGATCTGTCACTGTCTTCTAGTCTCCTTGGCCATTGTATGACACAGGTGCACTTACATACATACAAACACAACACTCCTACATGTAAAATAAAAGAAATAAAAAATTTAGAATATGTTAAAGAAGCATGTTCTCTGAGATGAAGATGTATAATGCTGAGGCTGGCCTTGAACTCCTGAGCCTTGAGTGTTTTTCAGACCGATTGCAGTTGTTTAGTTCAAGGCTTTAAAAATGAATGGCTGCCATCTGTTGAGTAGTTACTATGTGTTGGGCTTAAAACACATTTTCTAGGAAAATCCTTATACCAGTTTTTATGAGCAAGTTATTCACATTTAACAGAGGATCAGTGACTCTTAAGAGGCTTAGTCACATGTTCAAGATCGTACCAGTAACGGGCTTGGTACCTGAGTTGTCTGAATGCTGTGGTAACACAGGCCTTCCGCTGTCTTACTGGAGGGCTCTCTCCATTCACCCTGTAGCAAGAGAGGAAGCCAGCTTGTGCTCTGCCTGTGTTGTGTTCATGTTGGTTAAATCTTGGTTTTCTCATATGCACTATGTAGGTCAGGACTTGTCTTGAGAGTTGGGCCTTACTGTTTGAATTACTCCCTTTGCTCTTGTTAGCTGTCTGTGAAATGCCTTGGCTGAGAGGTCCTGTGGAGGAGTCTGAGACCTGCTTTCCCCCCGTATTTATCTGTTCATTTGTTAGTTGATTCATTCCTTCATCCGTGACCTAGTCCGCTCTTTTAAGTGACCCAAACAGTGTCTCACACTGCAGCTGATGTGGCACCTGGAAAAGTCTTCCCCAAGATCGAAGAGGAGTACTCTTGGCTGTGGGGGCGATGCTCTGGATGGAAAGAACACTGACTGTTGCAGTGACGGGCAGAACTCTCTGTGCCACCATTGCCTACTTTTCTTACCAGGTGCAAAGCCACCCTCAGAGCCTGGGTTTCCTCATCTATAAAATAAGAATGGTAATTACTGCCTTGAATTGCTGTATTCTTAAAATATTAAATTTCTAAGAGTTCTAAAAGGTTTAGAGCTTAAAACCAGTTCCTTTTCTCCTCATCATCCCCAGTACTTTCAAGTTTTGGTTTTATTTCTGAATTTGTTCAACATTATTATGCTAATTGAAAATTTAACTGTGACATCATTATCCCTACTTTCTCCCAACGTAGCATGGTGATGCCCAGCTATGACTGTGATTTTTTATACTCGAAATACAACAAAGATCATAGTACTAAATAACACAAGATTAACTATCTTAATATTAAATATTAATATTAAGGTATTTTATTTAAAGGTTAAATAGATTTTTAAAAAGTTAAATGTACCCAGCATTGTGGGACTTAGAATGACAGTTGAAGTTCTGAGTTTATTTAAAATGAAAAGCCAGGACTGGCAAGATGGCTCAGGGAATCAAGGCCACCAGGCCTGACAGCCTGAATTCTATCCCTGGGACCCATATGGGGAAAGGAGAGAACCCACTCCTGAAGTTGTCCTCTGACTTCTACATGTATGCCATGCGTTCATGCGTACCCTTCCCCCATATGTACAAAGTAAATAAATGTAATAAATTCTTTAAATTAAAAACTAAAATTGGGGCTGGAGAGATGGCTCAGCGATTAAGAGCACTACTCTTGCAGAGGACCTGGGTTCGATTCCCAGCACCCACATGGTGGCTACGAACCGTCCTTAACTCCAGTTCCAGGGGAATCTGAAGCCCTCTTGTGACCTCCTCGGCATTGCACAGCACGGGTGCACTCACATACATGCAGGCAATACACTCATACACATAAAAAATAA